CATGAATAAATTACTTAGTGAAGCATATCTTAAAGTTGATACGTGGCAAATGAATTGTACGTATGAGATTGAATGTTTTAATGTTCAAAGTGCTGGTTCAAACAAGTGCTCACTCATGAAAAAACCTCAATGCTTTGGCACAAAAGGTTGGGGCACATCTCTAAAGAAAGAATCATCACACTTACAAAACAAGACTTGTTGCCACAACTTGATTTCAGCAACTTTAAAGAGTGTGTTGATTGTTTTAAAGGAAAACTCACCAATACTAGGAAAATAGGGTCAAACCGTAGCCAATCTCTACTGGAAATTATACACACTGATATTTGCGGACCCTTTCCAATTAAGACCATATGTGGAAAATCATATTTCATAACCTTCATTGATGATTTTTCACGGTTTGCATATGTTTTTCTTATTTTTGAAAAATCTGAAGCCTTGCATTGTTTTAAAACATTTCATTTGGAAGTTGAAAAACAACTAGAAAAACACATTAAGATTGTGAGATCCGATAGAGGTGGTGAGTATTTTGGCAAGTTCACTGAGGCTGGACAACACAAATGACCTTTTGCAACTTATCTTGAACAAAATGGCATTGTGGCTCAGTATACTACCCCTGGGACTCCTCATCAAAATGGAGTTGCTAAACGAAGGAATCGAACCCTGAAGGACATGATTCGATCCATGTTTGCACATTCAAAGCTTTCAATGTTTCTTTGGGAAGAAGCACTGAAAATTACAAATTATATATTGAACCGTGTACCGAGCAAGTCCGTTGACATGGTACCATTCGAAGCTTGGACAAGAAGGAAACCGAGTTTTCATCACTTTCGTGTATGGGGTTGTAATGCCGATGCCAGATTCTATAATCCAACAGAGAAAAAACTCGATCCATGGACCACCAGTTGCAAGTTCATTGGGTATTCTGAGAAGTCTAAAGGGTATAAATTCTATTGCCCTAACAGTCACTCGAGGGTTATGGAAACCCATAATGCAAGATTTCTTGAAGATGGGGATGAAACTGACATCAGCATATCAGCAACTACATCCTCAAAATTCAAAGAAATCACACTTGATAGTGACATTATTGATCAGCATCCATCTACCCTTATTATTCCCATGAACATGCAGCCATAACCTTTTCATGACAATTCACATACGGTTTATGCAGATGATACAACAAATGAGGAGTATGTGCCCTATGCAGACGTCCAGGAACATGAAGTACATGCACCAGTACAATTAACTGAAGTAGATCTTATGAATGATCCAGTAACTGCAGTTTTTGAATCAAATATTCGAAAATCACAGCGAGTACGTAAGGCAACATTGTTGCCTGATTTTGTATACCTTGTTGATGCACAAAACTGAAGGTCTTGGAACAACGTAAATCCGACCGTGAATCTGCATGAAATGTAAATAACACAAGATGTATCGTGGTTCACCCCAAAGTTTGGGCTACGTCCACACTGATATTGTATTTCTAAGGGAGAGAGAGCTCTGAGAGTGAGAGCTTTGAGAGGGGGTGAGAAGGCCTAGGAATTGGCCTCCCCTAATTGTGAGGGTGAGTGGTCCTTTTATAGAATAAGGACTCATCTTTTATTACATATTTGCCCATTCCTTTATCATATAATTACATTTAAGTCCTCCGAGTATTTGTACGAGATCTAAATACGAGGCCCTAAATATGGTATAAACATAACTAAATGAGGCAGAACATACTATAGGTGATGAAGATGATCCCTTGTCCTACAATCAAGCCATAACAAGTTCAAGATCAACATTATGGAAACAAGCCATGCATGAAGAACTGGAGTCCATGGAGAAAAACAGTGTGTGGAGCTTAGTTCCAAAGCCAATTGGGACAACAAAAATTATTGGTTGTAAATGGGTGTTCAAGACAAAACGAGACTCATAAGGCAACATTGACAAACACAAAGCAAGGTTAGTGGCGAAGGGCTTTACACAAAGGGAAGACATTGACTATAATGAGACATTTTCTCCAGTCTCAACAAAAGATTCCATGAGAATAATTCTAGCTCTCACAGCACATTTTGATTTATAACTTCATCAAATGGACGTCAAGACGGCATTTCTAAATGGAGATCTTGAAGAAGATATTTACATGCAACAAGCACCTGGATTTGTTGAAAGGGGGAATGAGACGATGGTTTGTAAACTGAATAAGTCTATATACGGCTTAAAACAAGCCTCGAGGCAATGGAATAAGAAATTTGATCAGGTAATGGCAGCTTCTGGTTTCCAAGAGAACAAAATGGATGAGTGTATTTATCTGAAAGTCCTTGGTGCGAAGGTCATATTCTTAGTATTGTATGTAGACGATATATTATTAGCTAGCTCTGATATGTCTCTACTACAGTTAACTAAGAGTATGCTCACTCAAAACTTTAACATGAAGGACTTGGGGGAAGCTCGATTTGTTTTGGGAATATAAATTGTAAGAGATCGTGTTACGAAGTCTCTTGGTCTTTCTCAAAGGTAGTACATCGATAGAGATGCTAAAAGATTCAATATGGACAAATGTTCGAATGGAGAATTGCCTATCGGCAAAAGAGACAAACTGAGTAGTGTTTAATGTCCCAAAAATGAATTAGAGAATGAGGGAATGAAAGACAAGCCCTATGCATCTCTTGTAGGGGGTCTCATGTATGCTCAGGTATGCACAAGACCAGATTTGGCTTTTGCACTGAGTGTGCTTGGTAGGTTTCAATCAAATCCTGGTGTATGTCATTGGGTTGCAGCGAAAAAGGTACTGAGGTGTCTCAAAAGAACAAGAGATTTTATGTTAACTTATAGTCATGTGGACAAGCTGGAATTGGTAGGGTTCACGGATTCGGACTTGGCAGGGTGCGTGGACGACAGAAAGTCAACTAATGCATATATCTTTCTGTTGGCTAATGGTGCAGTATCGTGGAAGAGTGCAAAACAGAAAGGTATTGCATCTTCAACTATGGAAGCTGAATTTATAGGGTGCTATGCAGCAACTCAACAAGCCATTTGGCTTAAAAACATGATGAAAGGATTGGAAATCGTTGACAGTGTTGAAAGGTCTCTCAAGTTGTATTGTGACAACAAAGCTGCAGTTTTCTTTTCGAAGAATAACAAGAGGTCTTATGCCAGCAGATTGATGGACATCAAGTACTTAAAAGTACGAGATGAAGTGAAGAAAGAAACTGTCGAAATTGAGTACATCAACACAAGTTTAATGGTTGCTGATCCAATGACAAAGGCTTTACCAGTGGGAGTTTTCAAGAAACATGTTTTCAACATGGGAGTAAGAGAGGTCCTTGATTCAGTTAATGAGTGGGAGTAAGCACTCCATAAACCGTGTTGGGTTTGTTTCAATTATTTTGTTTACTGATTGACGATTGTTAGTTATCTTGCAAATTTGTTATCGTTATTGATTTGTTTAAATTGGCTTATTATGTTTCTACAAACAACTTTGGTACTGGAATTATTTCATTTTGTTATGTGGAACTGAGAATTGTCAGTTCTTGACGTCATGACTCTCAAAAGTGACATAGTGTTTTTAAGCTAAATATGTATGTGATCACAGAGTGCAAAGTGCAAGCTATTCGTGCTTTGTTTTTTGTGGTCCTATATTTTTCTTAAAGATGACAAGTTACTATGAAGGATCAGTTGCAAGCTTTTGTGAACTGTATGATCATCATGATTCTTATAATATTGAGGCATATCATTGACATTCAAGTGGGAGAATGTAAAACTTGTTTGAATGACAATGAGATTACAACTGGACTACTTGGGTGGCGTTTAACTAGTCATACTAGTTATGTGAAACACAAGGAGTCTGAGAGCTTTGGTATGACAAGAATCGTGGAGTTTTGTATGTTGCAGCTGTTCTATTTTGATCCTTATCAAATATATACTAGTATATAGAGTCATGATAGGACTAAAACTTATTAAGAGATAGAGATTATCACTCTTTCTGATAATAGGTTGGACCGAGTGAATCTGTAGCAAAATGGATGGATATATATATAGTTGAAGTCCCTGCTTCCTTACTAACGCTCTCAATATTATCTAAAACCCTATTCACTTAGAGAAGAGACTTTCGAGTGTTGGAAGTAGAAGACTTCTTCTTCTGTTGTTTCTTCAATGGCGATGCCTCCAGGTAAGTGTCTTGTAGATTATAAACTGGTGTTTCTCTAGTTATGGTGAATCTGATATTAGTTGGTAATCCTAGGGTAGTGTTGGTATGATGTGTTGCAGTAGTTTATTTATTGATATACTGCTTACAAAACTTTGTTGTCTATTATGTTAAAATGAGTAGCAATAAGAACATGAACATGTTATTTAGTTTGCCACTTGCAAACGCCTCCGCTGATATCAATATCAAGTTCGAATTCCTCTCTCTCACACAGCTGCCCACCTAGAATGGTCACTCGCTCTATGGTCTTGTCACACAAGATAATTTCACACATAGAAGAGCCACTCGCTCTATGGTCTTGTCACACAAGATAAGCAGGCGGTTTCTTTTCTTTTCATTCGTTCATTGATTGATTTGAGGTAGCTGTAGCTTGCTTTCAATTCCATTTCTTTTCATTCATTCGTTGATTCAAGGTTCATTCATTGATTCAAGGTGGCTGTATAGCTTGCTTCCAAGTACATGTCCTAGCGATGGAAGCTAGTAGCATGAACAATCCAAGTTCTATTATTTTTTGATGTCGGCAGTTGCTTTCAAGGTATTGGTAATGTGAGCTATACGACATGTCTAACACTATTTTTGCTGTCGGGAGTTGCTTTTGTGGCAATGTGAGGTATACCGTATACGACATGTATACAGAGAGAGAGTGGGGATAGTTTTACAAATTATTAAAGTTTGGCAAACGGCAAGAACCCTACTGTGACATGCATGTTTTGTTATTTTGCTTATATAAACCGACCCAAATTGTCAGACTTCATCAAAATCAAATCCTCATCGAAGCATATTAAAAAATTTCCAAGAAGAAGAAAAGGTTTCATTGTGTTTTTAGAGAATGGCGCATTTACAAAATCATCAATACGGGGCACCACCCACCGCCGCCTGCGGCAACCCGACTCAGGGAACTGACGAGAACAGCAACCCCTTGGTTCCCCAAGTGGACAAGTATGGAAACCCACTTGGTCATCACGGTGCTACTACTGGCATCGCTCCTGCTGCCACCGGAGAATACGGTGCTCATCACACGGCCGTTGTGACCACTGGCTATGCTGCCACCACGGCAGGTGGTCACGGCACACTTGGTCACGATTACGGCAGGAAAGAGCACCATGGTGTCACTGGCATGCTTCATCGCTCCGCCAGCTCAAGCTCTAGCTCTGTAAGTAATCTCTTTTTCCCATATAAAGATTTGATCTTAATTTTCGTAGGATATTGTAATTTGTACCATTGTTTTGTCTAAAAAGATTAGACCTTGCTAGCAAAAAGATTAGACTTAATTAACCGCATAATTTCCACGAAAATGAATTTGTGTGTAAATCCTAATACAATTAGCCAGGATACTAATGGTATTAATTTTGGGTAAATATGTACAATTATTTGTATCATCTTACTGATTAAATTAGTTTCATGTATTGTACTCCGTAAATGCAAATCAACGTATCACATCTTATTAGAATTGACTATAGTCACTAGAAAGAATAATATTTGCATTCCTCTCCTGGGAATTGAGCTCATTTCCCCAATTGTGTATCTTCATCCTACAAGTTTCATAATCGAGGCCATTCAATTTCTAAATATTAATTTAAAGATTATCAATCCTTACAAAAGTTCATTTAATCGAACATTATTTAGTCATCCAAATTTATGGAATAAATGGACTGTTGATCTTTATAATATATGTTACTTGGTATCTACACTGTTGATATATATGAGATATATTTGAATGACTAAACGATATCATATTCAAATGATTTTTCTACACTGTTGATTTATGTGATACATTTGGATGACTAAAAACGATATTCTATTCAAATGATTTTTGTACACATAATCTTAAATGGAGATTAAAAATAAAAACGGTTATGATTATAAAATTTCTACGATGAAGATAGGTTATGCAAGTATTATTCAATAAAGGCATTCAATTCTTCCGGTGGATTTTTTATGGACTTGGTATCCCAATTTCAAGAGAAATAAGGAATGTAAAATTTCCCATGAAATTGTTAACTTGTATTTTTCTCTTGGTAGTTATATGTTGGGTATTTAATTATTGTGTTGTAGTCAGAGGATGATGGGCTAGGTGGGAGTAGGAAGAAAAAGGGGCTGAAACAGAAGATAAATGAGAAGCTCCCAGGCTCAACCACAACTGACACAGCATACGGCACCGCCGACCCAGGAGGTCACCACCAGGAAAAAGGGATGATGGACAAGATCGAGGACAAGCTGCCGAGTACTGGCCACAAGGATGATCCCCGGTACTCACATACTACGACGTCGACCACCACACCCTCCGGCGGCGGCACCGCTTACACGGAGGAGCACCACGAAAAGAAAGGGATCATGGACAAGATCATAGAGAAGCTTCGCGGCGGACACCACAAGATATAAATACAGTGGTTTGTTACTATTATATCGGTCATATAATAAGCTACTGGTGCCTCTGGTGTGAGCTGAGTTGTTTGTGTGGCTAATGCACAGAGAGCACTACGCAATGTCTGTCTTTGTGATGTGAAAATTTGTTGTCTATTATGTTAATATATCAACTGCATTGGCTGAAACATTTGCCTAGATGATCATATTACTCAAAACCGGCCTTCCGCCATATCAAACATTGCACTGTAATCTTCTTCCATGGTGGAATCTCATGTTATCTCTCACGACAATCTCCCTCCCTGTAACCTAGGACGCGCCGCACATGAACGAATGACAGTGTCCGCAAATCCTAATGTTCTTCATGATCTTAATGGCGGAACCAGAATCTATACTGAGCAATGCATATGCTAAAGCTAGCTTTTCACTATGAGACATTAATATACCCGTCTTTTCTTCGTCTCCCACAGCATAAGCGGCCGAAACCAGGTTTGGCTGGTAGCCATGAACTTGTAATCTGTCCAGAATGTCATCCAACGTCGTCTTAATCTCGGTGTATTCTGGATGGGTTGTTTCACCTGCACAGAACTCATGAGTTACCCCTTGTTTGTTTCAACCTGCAGAAGACCGAATGACTTGAAATACTTCTAAAATACACTATTAGTCATGGGATTTTAAGGAGTTTTCTTGAATTTTTTTTCAAAAGATGGTTATAATGTGGGTTAGTTTGGTGTTGTTGTTCTTTTTGAAAAAAATATTTCTGAGAATAAACAGCTGTAAACTAAATTTGTTAAGTGTTTGGTAAATTTATTTTATGTAAAAATGTTTATAACAAATTGCAAAAATAATAGTATTTGAGTGTTGGATAAACTTAATTTATAAAAAAAAAATGCTTTTTTTATTTTACCAAATATATTTGATGCTTCAGGTATTTTAATAAGCTGTTTTTTATAAAAGCACTACAATCTCAAACCAGCTGTCGAGTTGCAACTTTTGGTATATTACAAGGTCAACATTGACACAATAAAAATTAGGAGGACTAAAATAAACTCGGCGTAAATTAGAAAGGCCAAAAGTGAAATTTTGTATTTGATAGAGACGGGATGAGAACGCTGCGTTTTGTTCCTCCCTAATCTCTAGACCCTTTTCTATTCACACAGTGCCAGCACTCCTCTCAGCCCAAACTCCTCCTCCCGTTCCTCCTCTAAACGACGACGTATCGACTCTCTTCTTCTCTCTCGTTTATCGGAAAAACCAGGTAATCGTCTCTCCTCTCTGGTTCTTTGATGATATGATTGTTGCCTTCTTTTTTTCATTTCTGAAAATTTTGAAGTTGAAAGTTTTGAAATTTTAATGGCTGAGAAAAATTTGGGGAAGAATCAGACAATTATTTCAATTTAATTTCGCGATTGATAATATGAATTAACATCTGTTTTAGCGAAATGGGCTATTTCGATTTTATTGAAAAATTTGGGATTCATCTTAAATTTTGCACCTTTATTTTGTTAGGAGTTAAATTTTAATTTTATTTACATAAATTAATTATTCGTTTATGATTAGGCTGATTTGAGCTAAATGGATAGTGATTCTCAAAAGGAATCATTAGAAAAAAGCGACAATGATGAAATTTTCGGAGAAATTGATGAACTGAGGGTAGGAATGGAGGTTAGTGATGAAGCTGAGGCGTACCAGCTATGCAACACCTATGCCTTCAACAAAGGTTTTAGTATTCGGAAAGGTCATCTTCGGAGAGATTCGCAGAACAATGTCCGGCAGAGAGAATACACGTGCTCGAAAGAAGGGTTTCAAGTAGATGAAGACTTGTGTGAAGCGAGAAAAGTTCGAAGATTGGACACAAGGACAGGTTGCAAGGCTGTGATTCGGTTCAATGTGGAAAATGGTGTATGGAAGCTCTCGTACATTAATCCAATTCATAATCACGAGTTTGCTAGGCCTGAAGAGCGACAGTTTCTGAGGTCGGGGAGAAATATACCAAGTGTTCGTGCAACTATACTTGGCAGCTCTAAGGTTGATGGGAGTATACGACCACCAAAGTTGCAATCATATTTGGGAAAGGAATTTGGAAGTGCTGAGAATGTCGGGGTTAGTAATAAAGATTCGCATAATTGTTTGCAAAGGGGGAAGGATGAATTGATTGCAGGGGATGGACAAAGCTTGATAAACTATTTTAAGCATAAACAGATGGAGGATCCGAGTTTTTTCTACAGTGTACAGGTGGATCAGTTTAATCGGATCACAAATTATTTTTGGAGAGACGGTAGATCAAAGTTGGATTATGATTGTTTTGCAGACGTTGTATGCTTTGACACTACGTTTCAAACCAACAACAATCTAATTTGTGCTCCATTTTTGGGAGTTAATCACCACTGGAAGAATATCTCATTTGGTTGTGCATTTTTATTGGACGAGAGCACTGCCTCATTTATGTGGTTGTTTGAAACATTTTTGGAGTCAATGGGAAATAAACAGCCAGTAACCATTTTCACAGATGAGAATAAAGCAATGGAAAAGGCAAGGGCAATTGAGATTGTGTTTCCAGAGACACGCCATCTGTTATGCAATTGGCAAATCTCCAAGAATGCTACACAACATCTTGGTAGTCTTTATGCTGATCCTGAATTCAAGAAGCACTTCTACAAATGCTTTTACGATTGTTTTACTGAACAAGAACTTCAACATGCCTGGGATGACATGATTAAAATGTTCAACCTTGAAAGCAACTCGTGGCTAAAGATGTTGTATTCACTTCGAGATAAATGGTGTCCAGCATTTAGCTCAGATGCTTTCTCAGCAAATATTGGATCAAGCCAGAGGGGTGAGAATACGAACACCATTTTCCATCAAGTTTCCAGAAAAATAGTGGATCTTGTTAGTTTTGTACAGCACTACGAGCAAAAAATAAAAAAGATGCGGTTCACAGAGTTGGAAGAGGATTTTCGTTGTAAAAATGCGAAGCCTCGTCTTAGAGTAAATAGTAGTATATTTAAGCATGCAGCTACTGAGTACACTGTCAAAATGTATTCATTCTTTGAAGATGAGCTTATGAGCATTTTTGGGGTGAGGATGGTGGAAGTTGGTAATGACGGCAACCAATATATTTATGAAGCAATCGAAGAAGGTCATCAAAGAGTCTTCATGATTCGGTACAACTCTACTACATCCACAGTTTCTTGTTCTTGTAAGTTATTTGAATCGATGGGCTTGTTGTGTCGTCATGCCCTCAAAGTGTTGGATTCTAAAAACTTCACAAGCATACCGACACAATACATAGTGAAGAGATGGACTAGAGAGGCAAAAAAAGGGATTGTGGCGAGTAATAAGTTCAGTAAGTCATCAGATAGAAAGGCCAACTCTGCTCAATCGTTGCGCCTAAGTGAGTTAATGCATGAAGGAACGAATGTTTTCAGTATAGGCTCATTGTGTGATTCGGGAAAAAGGATTGTCAAACAAAAGTTAGCGGAGACCATAAAGTTGCTGGAAAGTGACGAGGAAACTACCTACATGCTAGGAAATTTGAGCAAAGTAGATGACCAATCTGTTCGCGATATGTCTCTTGATAATGGGAGTGTGGAATCCCCCGGTTGTGACAGCTAAAGGACAAGTCTCCTAGATTGAAAAAAAAATTGCACTTCATTGCATAAGATGTTCAGAATGAAAGGTTAGATTCTTATTTTTCTTCTTTTGTAGAAGCCAACATTGTACATCGTTTTCTTTTTCTAGTGTCGGTTCATTGATGTTAGATGTATCCGGTTATTATATTTGTTGTCAATACTGGAGTTTGAAATCTATAATTTATCTCGGTTAATCTTTATATACTTTGTATCGCCGTTAAGTGCTATAGTACATTAATATTAATGGATTTTACTGATCTGAAGTAGCATCTTTTCACTTGTGCGCCGTTTTAGTTTAATTTATGTGCTGCTGTGTTATTGCTGTTTAGAACACTGTCTTGGCATTTTATTTCTAGGTTATGTGCAGAGTCTTGGCTAGAAATGAATATAAACCCTTTGAGTGCTTCTGGAGTCTGGACACACTGGTTTCTCGACTTTTAAGCACGGTGTAGAAGAGTTATCTTGATTCACTTGCAGCATGCATGGCACAGCATAAACTGCTACGGTGGCATTTTGTGCCAACGATACAAGGCAACTAACACGTTTTATTATTATTATTATTTGAAATGCAACGATAACTAACATGTATTTGTACTATTGGCAAGAGACGCCACACTGGACCCGTGCCATGCAAGTTTGAAAAAAATCAAAGAATGGTGATGTAGGTTGATTCCCACATTCATTTTTTTTTTGGTAAAATTAAACGTGAACATGCTATTTAAACTGGAACTGGGAGGTTGGGAAGAAAACAAAGGTGGTGATTTGACGCTCCCAGTTAAGTTTAAGTATTACTCTACCGCTATTTTTTGCCGTCACGTGTCTATTCTGGGCTTATGTCGAAATTGGGGAAGACTAGACACAAGAACAGGCTGTAAGGCTATGATTCGATTCACTGTGGATAATGGCGTGTGGAAGATCAGTCACCTCAACCCAGATCGTAATGACGAAGACAAATTCTTCGATCAGGTCGACATATACCAGGTGTTCACGCAGCAATCCTTAGCTCTATGGTCGATGGGAGTCGAAAACCAACACCATCGTATTCGTACTCGGGAAAAAGATTCAGTAGCGCTAAGAACGTGCTATAGATTAAATTGTAGCAATGGTCCCTCAACTAAAAATCTATTACTATTGATCCCTCAACTCATCAGAACATGTAGTTATGGTCTCTCAATTAAAAATTTATTATCATTGGTCCTTCGACTTTAACCCAATTGGAGCAATGATCTCTCAAGTTTAACTCAATTGTAGCAATGATCTTTTCAACATAACTCATTTTGACAAAATTTTGATGTACTTGACAAAAATGATCATAGCTACACGTTTTGATGAGTTGAGAGACCTCAATTATAGCAATGGTCATTCCAACATAACTTATTTTGATAAAATTCTGACGAAATTGACGAAAATGACCAAACTACACATTTTGATGAGTTGAGGGATAAATGGTAATTAATTTTTAGTTGATAAACTGTTTCTCCAATTTAATTAAAGTTGAAGAATCATTGTTACAATTTACTCTGTGCTAAATTAAATGAATAACATTTTACCTAACGGGTTATATTTGTTAGCCCACTCTCTTTAGCAAAGGGAAATCAGAAACATGTTTGGGACAGCGATCAGGTGCATCGCTCGGAAACCAAAACCTCCGATGAAACCCATAGAGCTCAATACCCCACCTGAGCAGACACAGACCATCACCAGGGCCATCTTCGACATCGTCAAGGAGCACGGTCCTCTCACCATTTCCGAAACCTGGGATCACGTCAAGGTAATCTCAGTGATTTCGTTTTCGCGCACCAAGTGTTTGATGAAATGTCTGAGTGGTTTTTTCTTTCAGAAAGTCGGGTTGAGAGGGTTGACGAGCAAGAGGCACATGAAGATAGTGCTGAGGTGGATGAGGGAGAGGCAGAAGCTCAGATTGATATGCAACCATGTAGGAGCTCAGAAGCACTTTCTGTACACCACTTGGTTTACAAAGCACAACTTCAAGCAGAAGCCAAAGCCAGCAAGTGATTCTCCACAACCCAAGTCTCCTTGAAGTCTTACGGATCTTCTTACTAGCTCAGTAGCTTTGTTCTGAGTTGTAATGAAAAATTTGAACTTTTTGCTATAATGTAAAGCTTAAGCTAAGTTCTTAGTTGTAATTATTTTTTTCTTTTTAACACGTCGGTACAACAACAAAACTTTTTCACATTAAGTTGGATCGGTTAAAAAAAAAAGAATTATTGACACGTTTGTTAACATGTCAGTGATTCTTTAATTTTACTTTTAATCCAAGTGATTTTCGAACATGAAGATTCAAACTCCGATGCATGGGGGAAGTGAGCACGAACCAACGCTTTGTTTATGATGTTCTTTTCAAAAACTTACAAACAAAAAGCTGGCAAAACCGCACAAAACTTGCCTATGCCCGTTTCATTTTTGCTATATCATGCAAGAGGTACGTGAGCTTATATGTGAAATGCCCCGTTTCATGAAACGAGTGTCGGCAAGTTATTTCGGCAAACCATCCTACCCGCCCATATAAAAGATGATAAGAGTTAACAAGCATAAATGCTCATAATTCAGTAACAAGAGAGTTGCAAGCATGTCAATGAGATGCCAATTTTTCCAATCCCATGCTATAACAAAATCGATCATGTCATTAATGTCAACCTTTTAACAAGCTACAATCTCGATCTTGCCTTAATATGCACATAATGTACAGCCCTATTGGAAATAGAAAGGTGAAAAACCCGAGGGACGATTATGTCGACATAAAAGGAAAATCGACCTACTTAAGCGCTGAAATCTCGACATGAGGAGAAGAGAGCATGTGTTAAGAATCTGAGCGGCTGTCTGACTTGCGCAATACTTCCTTCAGAACCGCAGCTATTCTATTTGCCATATGGTGTTCTAGGAACCTTTCTTTGACCCTTTCGTAGCCTCTCTTCCCCATCGTAAGCCTCCTCTCAACGTGAGTGGCGAGTTTTACCATATTATTCGCGAGAGGAGTGATCCCTGCTTTCCCAACAGGATGCAGCAAACCTGTCGTTCCGTTCACTACAATCTCTGTGGTGCCACCTGCCGCTGTTCCCTGATAAATATTTTATTTGGGAAAGAAAAAAAAGACAATGAAATGGGTCAATAAGATAGGCAGCATCAGTATTAGATATTACGCGAAACGAAAAGGAGGAAGGTTCATTACCAATACTGGCAGCTGAAATGCCATGGCTTCAATGGTTATCCTACCAAAGCATTCTCCGCGTGCCTGTACGGAATGAAAAAAAAAATACAAGATGAAAATGGATATTTTAATAAAATTTATGTAATTCCAACCACATTAGGGTCAAACTTGAAAAAGAATAATCTGAACACCTATTTGTATGGATCTTATTCTTTATTCGTTGGCTAGTTGGGAATTCTATATGCATCAAAACAAGATTGAATAACACAATAATAAAAGAAAAATGCTTCTAATACCTGCGAATTTTGAACAAGGACATCAATTGCAGCCAGATACGGTGCTACAGTCAGAGTTTTGTCTACAAAATGAACACGATCTTGAATTTTCTTCATCGCTACAAAGTTACGTAATTCATGCTCGAACTTGGTATGAGCAGTCATGTCACTCCCCACAATTACAGCATGCATTTTTGGCAGTTGCAGCTTCTTCTCTTGGATCAGTCGCAAGCTTTCATAGAAGGAACGCAAAAACAAATCCTGGCCTTTTCCGCGCGAAACACCTATAGACATGAAGTGTAATTTAGTGCTCACAATGTATGCATAAACTAACCAGAACATTACTTTTTATTTGTCATATCCCCACGGAAATTAACACAAATTTCACCAGCATACTAGAAACAAGATAAAGATAAAAAACAAACAAACTGGTAAATTCATGGTGAAACATTATAACCAAATTCAATCAAACCATCAAAACAGACCAAAATACATACTGTTAATGATGGCAAATACTAGTTCTTCACTTCGAACTCCAAGAGACTCCCGGACATGCTCACGCAAAACTCGCTTTGCCACATTGTCCTCAGCAACTTCCATAAGTTCCTTGCTGTTTCCTAGGTGAACAACAAAGGTCTCGGGCATTTTGATACTGCAGAGAGAAAATGAATGCAACGGTGAACCAAATGATATAAAAAAGAAAAAGGAAGAATATTTGAAGCCTACCCCAAACGCTCTCGAGTCCTATTCTCCCAATATTCTGCTGTTACATGTGAATCTATCATAGAACCTGCAACAAGTGGGAGGTGCTTAACATAATCCAATTTGAAGTAATGGCCACGCATTTCATGAATCCACCACAACACTTTTGGGAGAACACGGGGAACATTTTCCCTAAGAACAACATCCAACCATTTCCCAGAAACTGCGGTGTTCAATACAACCAAATCAGCTTTGAGAGCTGTATTCACAGTTTCTTGGCCATTTTCAGAGAGGACCTAGAGATGTATAGAAGCAGTATTAGAAACATGGAGAAGTTACAGAGAAATCTAACCTATCAAAAACAGGAAATGACACGCAGAGAAGACCGAGCCAGACAAGGCCATAGTATAGATCAAATCAGATGGGAAGCTAGATTTACTTAGCATAGTTTCCTTAGCACGTGGCCAATATAGTACAGTTGGACAACAGAATGCTTCCATATCATGAAATATTGAGATAATAAAAATAACTATGTAGAACAAAGACAACAACTAGACTGCAAAAGAAGACTTCCAAAATAATCTCTTAAAAAGTTAAAAGTGAAATTTGTACCTGCACTCCTCGGTCCAACATCTTATGCTCCAAACTGTATGTTACAGCATCTGTATCTGACGATTTCATGGTTGTAACCCAATAAACTTCAGTGCCAACACCTCTCAATAAAAATGCTAGCTCCATCAACAACAAAGGTCCACCTGGAAGAATGTTCAATATATTATCCCTCCAGTAGCGTTTGTAAGATATAAAGAGCAGAAATTGGTGGGATAAAATATACTCTTCAACCAGATATCTGGTTAAGGAGGAAGATAGCTTTCATCAGTTGTGGTACTACTCCATTTATTTCAATATGCTGACAAGTGCAAGTAAATATAACAAAAAGAACGCATCAACATTAGAAAACGTTAGTCTGTTGACGCCGGCAAGAATATTGACTCAATAAGTTCTCGAACCAAGGACAAAAGTTTCTCATCTGAAAAAAAGAGCATTCTTCAAAGAACACATTGTATTACAAAATGCATGACAGCTCGAGAACAAGATTATCCCAATAAATAGGTTAATGTTCAAAAGACGACAAACATTTTCAAGTTGAGTAGTAATATTTTCAAATGACACATCAGTACACAGAATGGACAAATAATTCAAACAACCCTGCTTATCGGGTTATTGAATTAATTAAGTTACAAAAATACGTGAATAGTAGAACAATACAGATGCCGTCTTATAAGAATCAACAATCGCAGAGAAGTAACGTACTCAGTTCTTCCACTCTATAATCTTGACTTCACATAAATCCCCAATGAAATCATTGATTAAACTCGAACATAATGAAGGGCATGCAACTGCACCAGACCATGTTTCCAAATTCACAAACAAATTAAACTCAACTGAGATGAAAATATATCAAACAGCATTAACACACTAAGGAACAAGCTACCCTCTCCATAAATACTAGAATAAAACAGGAAATTTAAAAGTAATGAGGCACAGGAAAGGACTTATTGTTAAACGGGTCATCGAAAACCATCCAATAGTTCGAAAACCAGTTAATGCTCACAGATTCCACTGATACAAGTGATTTTTCATCTAAAGCTGCTAACTTTCTATGTTTGTATAATCTAATAAGTCATTAAAAACTTAACACAACTAATTAAACACGATTAATATAAAAATGCATTAAATTCATAAAAAATGATAACAATATAATGGAGACAGAGACATTACCAGAAAGAGAAAGCTCGTGGGAGACCAAGAGCACGAGCTTGGACTTCATGAAGCTGAGGGGGCTAGGACTGGTCCCAATGGGCGCCCCCAGCGGAACCCTCTTATCGACGACGTCAAGGCCGCCGCGATCGCAGGTGTCAAACGCGGCTCTGATGAAGAAGGCGATCAAGGTAGAGAGGGAGACCATGACGAGTAAAGCCAGAAGCCACCGCTTCTGCGCCGCGACCCACCCCACGGAATGCTTGGCCATTTCTAGGGTTTGAAAGTTCCGTCACTGCGAGTCCCGGCGGCATAGCTCTAGGGTTTGGGTTTTCGACTTCGGCCGGTGGGGTTCGTACATTTGGCTCTCTGCGATTGAAGACTTGTAAATAATGATAGTTTCAAGGTTTTTGTCGAAGCTCCGATGGATTTTGGCGCTCAAATTTTGTGAAATTAATGGGAAAATTTGAAGCTTTGGTCGAAATTCTTCTGTTCGATTGTGTTCTTCTACAGAGAATCGTAGCGCGGAGCTCGAGGTTGAGAGGTGCTGCTTCTCTCTGTGTGGGAGTGTTTGGAGGCCTTTTTGCTTTTGTTTTTTGGAATTTCCAATGCTTTTTTGCTTTTTTTTCGTTTTAGGAATTTGGGAAAATATAAATGGAATGGAATTTGCATTTTGGAATATGGTTTCTTGTGGCTTTATCTTTTTGGGTTGTTTTTTTTCCTTTTTCCCTTTTCTTCCAATTTTTAACACTTGTTTGTTGTTGTCATCAATTTTCACTTTTCTCTTTTTTCTTCTTTTACTTTTGGAAAATTTCTCTACCCTTTTTTGGTAGAGTAGTTGGAGCAACTCCACCTCTTTCGATTGCCCTTGCAATTGAGTGATTCAATCCTCCCACTCCAGAAAAACAGTGGGGCTGTTCAGCGGGCCCAACCACCCCCCCCATTTGACGTCAGCGACGTCTTTTATATTTTTTGGCAGACACCCTCACACTCGTCTGAGAGGGGCGACGTGGGATGTTCTGGACCGTTGGATTTCCAACTGTTATATTTCTCGGCCACTAGATTTTTAACAATGAAATTTTTTGAATTTAACATAATTTTATTATATACATTTTAAAATAAGATGAAGTGACCTTTAATTGGATTGATTATTTTGCATACATAATCTTTAAATGGACACTGACATATATAACAATTATATGGGAAATAAAAACATAAGTGAGTCTCATACAATATCTTGAATTTAACTCTTAATTTTGAATAACAACTTATCACCAATTCACCTTTTACACATTATATCCTCACGTTATTTTCAAAAGTTTTAAGCTTGCTCATTTACTATTATATAAAATAGCTTGAACGAAAATT